GGAGGTTTGCGGTGTCCAGGTGACTCTAGAAAACCGAGAGGTTAAGTTGATTTTGCTCAAAAGCATTGCTTTTGATTTCATAGGAAGATTCCTACAGAAATAGATGGTGCCACTTGCAGTTCAGATTGCCAGTCTCATATAGGTTGAGACCTCTTACCCTTTTGACTTTAAAGAAGAAAATACAAGAAGGCTAATGCAGGGGATATTTGAGATTGTAAAACAGTACAGCTTCCGTTCACACATAAGAAAAACATTGAAGAAAAAGGATAGTGTTTTGTGATGGGCACATTTGACATAAAAGCAGAAAGAGAAATTGAAGAACAGATAAATTCTTTCAGAATTAGCTCAGTTTTCCTGAAAACAAGAAACACAGATGTACAGTGAGACTCTTGGGATGACCTACTGGTAGACATTAGGCTCATCTTGCATTTTGTAGCAATGCGAATATGAGGAGGTAGAAGAGGAATATGCATAGCTGAAGGTGTGCTGTATCTGCAAGGACAAATGCTACAAGCAATCAGCTCATCACAGATACATTTTATAATGAACCCGTCCAATAGTTATGGAAATGAATGCCAGATGTTCTCAACTCAAGACTCCTCCCAGCATGATGACCCAGAAAGTCCATATGGTACCAAAGGCAAAAGCTTAATTGGATAGCTCACCTTTCTCTGCGTAATTCCCTGCTCCCAGAAGGAAGGAGGTTAGGTGCAAGGCTTCCGTTAGAAGTGTGACTTTCAAAAATGCAGCAACTCTGGACACTAAACATTGTACTATTCAACACTGGCTGTTCAAGGATCGGAGAATTTTAGGACATGGCCACATATCTCATTTCACTATAGGTACATATGTTTGCTCTGACAACCCTTTTGTGAGTACATAGTTGTAGACATAGAGTGCGCTCTCGTGAAGAGGAGCTCACAGTCTCATTTTAGAAGGCAGTCAGAGGTTAATAAATTGCTGCAAATATTCCAAAGATCGTTGACAAACATCAGTGAAGTGATTTTTAAAGACTACTGAACTCTTTAAACTTGGAAACACCAATAAAATGATTAGTCTGTGCAAAAGTTACAGCTGGTTGCCAGAAATAAACTCTACTTTGCTTAAAAGAGAATGAAGTAACCACGAGTTCATGTCTCCCGAATTCTCCCTGATGACATGAGGGTCTTAATGACAGAAACTCTGTCTTTTAAAATATTTTGAATTATTTATTTAATGTTTATAGGTGGTTTGTTTGCATGTATTTCTGTGTGCCATGTGCATGCCTGGTGCCCAAGGATGCCAAAATAGGGCAGCAGATCCCCTGGGACTGGAGTTCCAGAAGGTCATGAACAGTCATGTGGGTGCTAGGATTTGAACTCGGGTTCTCTGAATGAAAAGTTAGTGCTGTTAACCACTGAGTCGTCTGACCAACCCATATTAAAAACATTTAATAATGAGTTCTTTTTGTAGAGTGATAAATACATTAGTTATTGTTAATGCAGAAGAGTTTCATGTGTATATATGACTTTGACAGCCCCCCCCATGCACACCCTTTCACCCTCTCTCTCCCATTGATGATTTCTTCCTATCACAGCTCCCTCCTACTTTCATCCCCCCCTCGTGTGTGTGTGTGTGTGTGTGTGTGTGTGTGTGTGTGTGTGTGTTTCACTGAGTTTAACTTTAGCTGCTTTCCTGAGCATAATCCAGGAAGAGTTATGTATTGGTACATGGGTAACATATAGGTGGCTTACTGCTGAAGAAAATGACACCCCTCTACCCCAGTGAACATTACCTTCTTCTAATCCCTCAGTGGGGTGCGGAACCTCATGAACTCTCCAGCATGCATGGTGAAATGGTGTTGGCTCTAGTCTTACGGCGTTCTTGTTCAGGTCCCCAGAACAGCAGTGAGTTCATTTGCAGCGGGTGGTGATTAGCACAGAAACTCAAAATTGATCAAAGTCCAGAGGATGAGTGTGACTTTGGAGTCCTGAGTCTGAAAGGAGGTCTTGTGAAGCTTCTTTGTCACTGTTTCTAAGGTCATGGGAACAATGGAGAAGAAGAGCAAGCAGAAAGAATATAAGGGCTGGAGGATAGAGAAGCGTTCCGTGAGACTGGCGTTCTGGATGGACATGACTATTACAGCAAGGACAGAGTCTTTCTCTCTGCACTGGGGTGTGAACTGAACCTTAGCTGTTTGATTTTTGGATGCCCACACTGGTAACAGCAGGGACCCAGGGTCCCTGCGGAGTCTAGCTGTGCCTCTTGATTATTGCCCAGTTGGATGCGACCGTTGTGAGGAGTTTTGGAAGACTAGAAACCCTCCTGTGTTGGGGATTAATTTCTCCTTTTTGTATTTTGCTTGAACCAAAAAAAAAAATTGCCAGGAATTTTTAAGTCCCTGACACTTTACATTAACTTCATAACAATATAAATAAACCATTACTTTATGTCATAATATTGAGTTCAGATTCAGTCAGTTTTTAACGATTACTATGCAGTCCCTGCTTGATGTATTTCCTAGCCTTTGGCTCCTGTAAAGTAGTAGTAGCTGAGGGTTTAAAGGAAGGGAAGGGAGGTAAATAGGTTGTTATTATTATTATTGTAATTAATTAATTAATTTGTTTATTTATTTTGAGCCAGCATCTCATTATGTAACCCAGTCCAGTAAAACTCGTGATCCTCTTGCCTGTGCCTCCTGCGTGATGATGTAAGAGGTGTGTATGCCTCTTTGCCCAGCTAAGATTTTCTTAATAACACATTTCTTATTTGTATGAGACTTTACAAAGCAGTCCCCTGCCATACTCAAATAGATGTAATTTGTTCTCAAACTTTGTGAAACTTGGCAGCATGCATTTCTTCATAAGGAAACATTAAAGATGTAAGGCCATTCACCCAGGACGTGGATTACCTCCATCTTTCCTCTAAGTCCCAGTCCCCTTCTCCACAGGAAGAATTTGGATTCAGTGTATTCTGTGGATGTTAACACTAGCTAGTAAACCAGCAGAGCTTTGGAAGGTCCTTATCTGCAGCACTACAACAATTCCCACACTTATTCGGGTGATGGCTTCTCACTGTGAGAAGCAGGCCAGTCATTTTGAGCTCCATCAACTCCATTGCTTTATTAAGCTGTGATTACTATGTGCCCTAATTAATTGGCCACAGCTCTGTCTTGCATCTTGTTTATAAAAATAGTTTCAGATAGGATATATTACAATATTCTATTTTGGCTGTTTAATATTGTGTGTCATGCTAATTGTGATGATATGAATTATTACTTATGGCATGGCAAATCCTGTTTATGGCAGGGAATGGGAAATGATTATTCAGTAAAAAGATGGTCAAGTTTTGTCTTTGAGACGTGGCTTCATCTGGAACAGAAAGCTGATGGACACACCCCATGCCTGTTACGGTAGGAGCTGAGAGACCCTCCCAGCTGTTTACACTTCCGATGGAAAATGGCAGTTTGACATAACCCGACAGTATGATGCCAGCATCTGCAAAGAATCTTCATGTGGAGCATGCCCAGTGCAGGGAGTGCTTCCTCCCTCCCCCCACCACCCCTCTCCAGATCTCTAAAGATAAGGCTTGAACTTTACACTTGGAAATACCAGGGCATAGTTTGGGGGGTTTGTTTGCCTTGTTACTTTTTTTTCTTTTCTAAATGTCCTCTTGAAACTAATTTCCTTTAACGAGCCAAATGCAGGAAAGAGATTATTTAGAGTAATCTAATGCATTAAGTTTAAACAAGTTGAAGCTGGTCTCTGCACTTGGACCTGTCTTTATTTTGAAAGCAATAGAAATCATTAGAGTGTGGTGTGTGTGTGTGTGTGTGTGTGTGTGTGTGTGTGTGTGTGTGTGTGT